ACGATTAATGCAGCAAAAAGTACCAATTAATACTTGTTTCCATTTTATATGGATATCTGAATATATTTGTTATATAGACAGTACATGTTAAATAAAACATTACAAACGCATTCTTGTTTTGAGTTTTTCAATCTATTTAAATTTGTAATTTCTTTTATTTCATTTTCAAACTATTCAGAAAACAAACTAGCAGACTGGTGGCCATTTTGGATTTAGTTTAAATACATAAAATGTTTTGGATGGATTGATTTCCTAACTGATATAAAAGTTTGTCCTTAATACTCCTACCTAAGACAAAAGTTCATTCTTAATACCCCTCCCCCCGATCAAAAGTACATTCTTAATACCCCCTCCCCCAAATCAAATTTCGTTCTAAATAACCACCCCCAAATCAAAGTTCATTCTTATACCCCCTCTCCCAGATCAAAAGTTCCTTCTTAATACCCCCTCCCCCAGATCAAAAGTTCTTTCTTAATACCCCCTCCCCCAGATCAAAAGTGCATTCTTAATACCCCTCCCCCCGATCAAAAGTTCATTCTTAATACCCCTCCCCCCGATCAAAAGTTCATTCTTAATACCCCTCCCCCCGATCAAAAGTTCATTCTTAATACCCCCTCCCCCAGATCAAAAGTTCATTCTTAATACCCCCTCCCCCAGATCAAAAGTTCATTCTTAATACCCCTCCCCCCGATCAAAAGTTCATTCTTAATACCCCCTCCCCCCGATCAAAAGTTCATTCTTAATAACCCCTCCCCCAGATCAAAAGTTCATTCTTAATACCCCCTCCCCCAAATCAAAGTTCATTCTTATACCCCTTCTCAAAGATCAAAGGTTCTTTCTTAATACCCCTCCCCTCGATCAAAAGTTCATTCTTAATACCCCTCCCCCCGATCAAAAGTTCATTCTTAATACCCCCTCCCCCAGATCAAATGTTCATTCTTAATACCCCCTCCCCCAGATCAAATGTTCATTCTTAATACCCACTCCTTCGATCAAAGTGATTTCTTAATACCCCCTTCCCCAGATCAAACTTCTTTCTTAATACCTCCTCCCCCAGATCAAATGTTCATTCTTAATACCCCCTCCCCAGATAAGAGTTCATTCTAAATAACCCCTCCCCAGATCAAAGTTCTTTCTTAATACTCCCACCCCCTTATCAAAATTCATTCTGAATACACCCTCCTCAGATCAAAGTTCGTTCTTAATACCCCCTCCCCAGATAAAAAGTTCATTCTTAATACCCCTTCCCCCAGATCAAAAGTTCATTCTTAATACCCCCTCCCCCAGATCAAAAGTTCATTCTTAATACCTCCTCCCCAGATCAAATTTCATTCTTAATACCCCCTCCCCCAAATCAAAGTTCATTCTTAATACCCCCTCCCCCAGATCAAAAGTTCATTCTTAATACCCCCTCCCCCAGATCAAAAGTTCATTCTTAATACCCCCTCCCCCAGATCAAAGTTCATTCTTAATACCCCCTCCCCCAAATCAAAGTTCATTCTTAATACCCCCTCCCCCAGATCAAATCATTCTTAATACCCCCTTCCCCAGATCAAAAGTTCATTCTTAATACCCATTCCCCAGTTCATAAGTTCATTCTTAATAACCCATCCCCTGATCATAAATTCATTCTTAATACCCCTCCCGCTGATAAAATTTCTCTGTGATTTCTCCTTATATAGACGTTTCATGTGACTTTAGCATGACCATGACAGCACAGTCGGCTCAGCATTGACTGATGTAACCTCAGGTTTGTGTGTGTGGTTCAACACTCCACACTTGCAGTTTGTGTTTCTCAGGGAGATGAGATACAGTCTGTGTTGTTGTGACCGAGTCCTAAGGTAAGGCACTTTGAATTCTGTGGATGTGGTTGTGTAGACTTTTCGATGCGATAGCGACAAGCTATTACTATTAGACTGCTGATATTCATGGGCAGTAAAACTAGCAAACAAACTGGTCATCACAGATCCTCTATGCTGACTAAAATCCAACAGATATTCCAGTTTGTTAAAAGGTAAGAGAGAGAGACTGAGAAGAGAGGAGGGTGTGTTTAACTTCACCTAAGTTCAAGGTTCCCCCCCCCCCCCCCAAGTATGTTGCTTTCAAGGAGAAAATACAACTCAAGGATCAATCAGGAAATGAGGAACAAGAATTTTATTTGGTCAAGAATTAATATATTATATAATATCATGGTATATCACAGACAACAATCCTCAAGGTTAACAACAACACTGCCACGATTTCTCTGTAAAACAGTTGGGTCGGGACAATTAGTACATCATCAAATACATTGTCAACAATGACAAGGTCAGTAATTCTCCAAAATAAAGGGTTGAGACATTGTGACATTGTAAAAAGTAAACTGTTACAAGGTTATTAAATCTTTGTAAAATCGGTTTCATAATACGTTAAAAATTCATACAAGTCTGCATGGCTCACCAGAATAATTCAGCTATCCAATAATTTAACCAAGAATTTTGAATTGTCAAAAATTCTGAAATAATTTTCCTGTTGGGTCACGGCCTTGTGGTCAAACATACCTCAGATTCACCATTCATAAAAATTGCTTCAGATCAATCGTAGACAATATTTATGGAAGAATGATTTTTAGGAACTTCCATTTTCCCTATTGGGCCCCACATCTTTGATGTCAGACTCCTGGTTGATACAAAATTGGTTTCCTTTAAATTAGGTATGCTTCGGGCTGAATTGGGACAGAATCAAGGCATTCCCACAAAAGATGGATTTTAGAGAAATTCCTCTATTCTCAGTGATGCATTGCTTATACAAAATGATTCCTTTTCACTTCAGCTGGAATTAAACCAACTTGGCAAAACATTCATGCATTCCTACAGAAGAAGTATTTTAAAGAATTTTGCTCCATTTCCTCTATTGGGCCTTGTCCCTCTTGCCCCATTTGGCCAACACCTGCTGTTTATATAATTTATTTCCATTAGCCAAGATTTTTTTGCCCTCAAACATTTGCTCTATAACCTCTACAGGGCCAAGCCTCTCCCTCCCCTAAGGGCTGAGACCAACTTTCATACATTTGATTCCCCAATGGAAACTTCTGATGAAAGTTGATCAAAATCCAATCAGTCATTTGTGACTAATAGCAATTTTTAGTAACAAGTTTATAGACACCGGACACTGCACCATGGCATAAGCTAACCAGTGTTTCAGACCAGGTAAGCAAAAAACATTCAGTGTTGTGTTGAAACAACTTAAAGATCCTATGCGTAACATAATTTTTTCCAGTTTTTTCCTGAATCCCACCTTGATTCCAACTTTTGCAGAGTCATATAAAGTTTCATACTGATGTACTGTACACAATACAATGCCAGGCATAACATTTTTTAATGTAAATAACCCAGCATTTCATGTTACGATGTACAAATGTCTCAAACTAAAAAACAGTTTTCTCTCAATATCAGAATGCCTCAAAATCTTTAAAAACTGTTAAAAGCAACAAACTCTAGAACAAGGACAAAAAAGTATCAAAATAAGAGACAGACCTGAGAATAAATAATTATTTAGTTAATAAATTAAGATGACTAAACCATGTTAATAAAAATTAAATTATAACTAAAAAATTTGATCATTTTAAAAAATTTGTTCACTACATCCTAAAATATCTCCTTTGTTAGCACTATGCTAAATATGGTTCTACAAACTATTGTAACAAATAATTATAAGACATATATTTTAAATAAGCAGATATTTGAAGTTAAATATCCTTGTATTTAAATATCTATCCTGCTGATGTATTTTCTGCCCTTTGTTGGCCACAATCACTCATTTACTTCCTGTACAAGGATGTCTCTTGACAGTAAGTATCCTCATTGAAACAGAGGGAGTCCAAAACTGGAGCTGCTGAATTTATCTAACAGGCTTTACGTCAGCTATTACAGCCTTGCAGCCTTTCAGCAATAGAATAGACTACTGACATCTATAATTAGGACAGTATTTTCCATAGCAAAATAGAAAACTACAAAAAGTACATGTGTATTGTTATTTTCATGACAGACAATGTTGAAATATGTATAAACCAAAAACATAACAAACAGGTCGACACTTGAGCAACTGGGCAATGGATGGTATAACAAGGGATAAAATTTCATTCACTGTAAAATCTAGTTTCGGAAAAAAATGTTTACATGACTTGAATGCCCTCACTCATACGCAAACAGGGTATAGAACACAGATGTCACACTATGGGATAACTATGAACCAAATAAGTTGGGAGATTCTGAAGATAAGACACTGAACGGGACACAACACACTGGACCAGACAGAGATGAACAAGAAGATATGCTCCCATAAACTACAGTCTATCTGTAACTGATCTGACTAGTAAGTAATATCATTTATGTCTATAGATATAATACACAGGTAAGTAAAAACATATCTATATGGGATTTAGTAAGTAATGACAATACAGTATAATGTAAACATACATATTTTTTACCAGTTATCTATTTTAACCCCTTTTCCAATAGAGATATTATGCTAAAAACTGATCCTGCTAATTGCAGTTTAATTTGATGTAATTAATATAGCAATCATCGCTAATGCATTAATTCATCATTGAGATTATTTGTTTACAACTGACTCTACGCCAAATTTGGTGTCAAAATAAGTATGTTTACAGTATGCTGGAGGTTAATGAAATAAGTGAAATTCCATTTATAGACGTTAAATTAAAATGGATTATGGGAAAGATGATTATTTAAATGACAAAACCTGGTGATGTTCATGGTCATCCAGATTAAATATTTCGGAGAAAAAAATCTAGCACTGACCAGAAGCATTGCCAATACATAGAAATGGTGGACAACATGTGGAATTATATCTATAAATAGATACTGTTCAGCTATATTAAGATTGTATCTATATCTAAACAGGTGTGGTTTATATCTATAAATAAATATATGTCTATAAATGGAATACCTATAAATAGGTATAAGTGGTAAACCATAACAGAACAAATACAGGGAACTTATATATATACTTGTTTAGGTCATAGTGAACCCTGTAAAATGACAAAATTGTAGTGAAGATACACTAAAACAAAAAAACATCAACGAGGTTTTTGATTTCTGATTTCAATTTACATTTTCTTTGGTACTATTTATGTCAATAATGGAGAATGTCTTTATCTATCATAACGGATGTTAGGTGTATCCTGAAAGTACTCATATTGCTTTGGTATGTTAAGTGGAGAGTTACATAATCATGTGTCTTGTTTTACCAGAACAGAGCAAGAATGTGTCAGCAGAAATCTGATGGCTGACTAAATTTTCCATTACATTTCCTTTTTCTCTGAAATGGAAGAAACTTTTATGAAGCTATAACCTTCAATAAAATCTCCCCAGTCCTCTATCTACAGATATACCTGGTGTATCATAAGAGAATCCTAGAGTGCCAGCAACAAACCAATGACTGCCTGGATAGATCCCCACAGGCCAGTAGCATTACGCTTTGTGCCAGCCCATTCTAGAGACACAGCTCAACTCTAACAATTTACCTGATGGACAGAGTCAAAGACTCACCAGAGGCCAATTCCATCGCATGTACTGAACTCTGATGAACATCAGATGTAACATGTAGACCGAACAATGACCAAATACTATAAAATATCTACATTTGTAAGACAGGTCTTTGATATTTCCATTAAAAAATTAATGTACATGTATCAGATGTGATGAAATAAACCTGAATAGCTAAACATCTATTGATGTAAACAAATGTATTTGTTACCCAACATTTACACAGCATGATATATCACTACTTTCACAAATAAATATGTATTTAGAAGGGCAAAAGTAACTGAAAAGAAATTTTACAAAATTTCATTTCAATGTCATGGTTAATGTGGATACTTCAACAATTTCTTCCTGTGAAAAAATTTTGGGACTGTACACATAGACTCCAGATTGACGAAGAAATGTTGAGAGAATGTCTGAAAAATTTCAGCTATATCCTTGTAATTTGTTATCGGATCTAAGTGTTTCTATGAATGAGATCAGTCATTGAAGCAGCAGCATAAGCATGTATATCATAAGTTGAATTTGTGTTAATATTAAATATTGAATGGCACTAAAACTTCTAAAAAATATAACACTATATTAAAGATTTTAGAGGTTACATACAATGGCTATGTACATACTGTAAAATAATCAATTTTCGTGGGAGATTTATTTTAATTCATTTTGTGGGTACTCTCAATCCATGATTTAATATGACAACCCACTGTCATAATCATTTTAAATGCATTTATAGAGCTATTTTTATCCACGAAATCAAATGTCAATGAAATAGTGACTTTTTGAAAAACCACAAAAATTGAGCCTATGAAAATAATGATTTCACAGTAATGTAAATAATTTTGCCAGCAGACTTTCCCAAACTAACTAACATTAAATGAGGCGTTATCGAAGCACTATATCACACAGAGTTCAAAAATATTCTCTCCGTAGATGATCTACCACAACTAAAAGGAGACAACCACAAACTTGGGCAGTAATATTCTGACAGACACTTCATTCAACCGAGTTCTCTTGCTTCATTTTCATATGCAGATCGTAGAACTTCTACAGGTTTCTTTTCATTTTCCTCAAGGAAAGCTCCTTCTTGCATCTCATGTCGATTGTAGAGAAGTGTCCTGAATCCAAACTCACTAAGACCTAGATCAGACTGGAGAAGCTTCTGCCACTGTATCGGAAAGTTTCTGATCGCCTCCTTTGAAAAAATGTGAAAACAAATTGAATTATATTAAATTTACATTCAACAATTCCTTTAACATAGATAGACCCTTCTGTGATGTTACTCTTTCCAGATCCCGGTAATCTATTTTGTTTTATATATCACATTATCTGTATCCTGTTTCAGTTTACATTTTACCAAAGCATTTTGAAGCATGTTAGCTGATCACAAGAAAAAGCCTAGGAATAAGGCTGGGAAATTTACAGAACGTTAACAGTCAGAACTGAAAAAATACAGAACAGTGTTCTTTTTGTTTTCTTTTAATGACATACTTATGTAAGATTCTAAATAGAACTTAAGAAACAGATAGAGATACTGGTAACAAAAGTTATAAAAAGTTGCTCTGAGGTTAGGCCATATTTTTCCTTTTTAAAGCAAAAATTAGATGTACTGTTGTAAAATAAAAATGGTGTAAATTTTTGATAAATAATTATCATATTACAATATTGTTAGACAGATTGACAGGTAGAAACATCTGTGATGATCAGGATAAGCGAGAGCTGAACAAGGTGCAGAGCCTTCCAGATGTTGCTCTCCGGAATCCTCAGGACTGTCCATTAGCCATAAAGTCATTTCACAACTCAACCAGTTTTATAGTCTATCATTATTTCCAAAAAAAGGACAGTAAGGTATACTTTTTATTTGTTTATCATAATGTATTTATGTCAAAGTCTTAATAAAAAATTGAAAAATTTTGAAAATTATCCGAAAAAAAAAAAGCTGAAATGTAATGGAAAAGACATGGGTTTTCAAGACAGTTTTGCCAATAAAACAGATAAGATTTTACAACAAAATTGTCAATTATATCTTTATAACAAAAATTTTAGGGGACAGCTATGCATTATATTATACATTCCCTTGATATTCATGTAATACATTTATATATTTATTATGTTTTATAAGGTTTTTAACTGGACAAAAAATGTTTAATTCCTTAAAAATTTCAAAATCTGGATCAGTAGATCATAAGTGTGTATCTATGTGTGACCCTGGTAATAAATGTAATGAGGTAACATGTGTTTTATGTGTGTATTGTGGTGTAAATGTATCTACCATTAAAATATCCCGTAAAATCTGAAGGGATGGACTACATTAAATGGTAAAAATTAAGCAGCCTTGTTCTCCACTCAAGTACCCAGATAGTGTTAAAAATCTGGATTGATCGGGAATTATTTAAAAATATGAGTTATTCAAAATCTAAAATCATGAAATGTTAATAAAGAAGCCAGATATTATATAAGGAAAGTCATACATGATCAAACTTTCGAGTTCCAATCAGATCAAACTCCTTTGCTGGGTCAAATTCTTTCTGTGCTGTAGATTTCATGTTGGTGGTGAACACAGGAGGAAGTTTGTTGTCACTAGAGGGCAGCACATACTGGATATCAAGGTGGTGCTCCAGCCACAAGAAGTTATTGGTGATGAGGAAGTGAATATTACGTAGATCTCTCTGACCTAGAAACAAATGAATATGATCAGATAAATGCTGAAGTAGAGAATTTCTAAGTAACTTTAATCTTTCTAGTATTTCTAAGCACCTGAAAGAGAAATTCCTCTTTAGCCTAGAAATATAGGTTGCTGATTTGTGCAACAGCAGGGAAAGGACAATAAAATGGCATCAAATTATGTTATTTCAAGCTTGTATTTTTCTACACATAAAGGAAAACCTGTAGATTTGTTGTCTTTGTTATCTTTGATTTGTAGGGTGTCCCTCCTTAATGATTCAATACATATTGTAGGGGTCTTATAATGATACATATTTCCAATATTTTTCCCCCTTTTTTCACAAGCTTAACATTTCACATTTACATCTTAGGAATAAAAGTCTTATGGTATGAAAGACTTTAACAGGAGAATGAAGAGTGTAGGAAGTGTTACCTGTGTCTGTGTCAAGAATGTTACTGGCCAGTAATAAAAACAACTGCGCCATAAACTCATTGGTGGCCAGCTCCAAGATATTACTGTCATCTGTCTCAAATATCCTGTACAAATGATATACAGTCATGATAATAATACAATACTAAATGTGTGTACAAGCAACATATAAAACTGATGAAATGTTCAATAGGTTAGATATTTTTGCTGGGGATGTTGGCATGTTTTCCTCTCTGAACAACATACAGGAGGCCCATCACATTCCATCCAGATTAAAGCGAGTAAGGTATCTTGTTCAGGGAAAAACAACATCAGTACAAACTCGTCTGCATTTCCTGAGAAACACAAACTGCCACAAGTTGTGAACAACAAACAATACACCTTGGATCTCCATCTGAGATTGTGTAGGCAAATGCTATAACAAATGAGCTATCACAGCACTTACTTATCTAAGTCCCCACAAACAAACTTGTATAAACACAATATACCTATAAATATTATCCTATCTAGTCCCCACAGGGATGACTTACTTATCTATTATCCTATCTAGTCCCCACAGGGATGACTTACTTATCTATTATCCTATCTAGTCCCCACAGGGATGACTTACTTGTTTAAGTCCCTACAAACAAATTTATATAAACACAATATACCTATAAATATTATCCTATCTAGTCCCCACAGGGATGACTTACTTATTTAATTTATATCCCCACAAACAAATTTATATAAACACAATATACCTATAAATATTATCCTATCTAGTCCCCACAGGGATGACTTACTTGTTTAAGTCCCTACAAACAAATTTATATAAACACAATATACCTATAAATATTATCCTATCTAGTCCCCACAGGGATGACTTACTTATCTATTATCCTATCTAGTCCCCACAGGGATGACTTACTTGTTTAAGTCCCTACAAACAAATTTATATAAACACAATATACCTATAAATATTATCCTATCTAGTCCCCACAGGGATGACTTACTTATTTAAGTCCCTACAAACAAATTTATATAAACACAATATACCTATAAATATTATCCTATCTAGTCCCCACAGGGATGACTTACTTATCTATTATCCTATCTAGTCCCCACAGGGATGACTTACTTATTTAAGTCCCTACAAACAAATTTATATAAACACAATATACCTATAAATATTATCCTATCTAGTCCCCACAGGGATGACTTACTTATTTATTATCCTATCTAGTCCCCACAGGGATGACTTACTTATTTATTATCCTATCTAGTCCCCACAGGGATGACTTACTTATTTAAGTCCCTACAAACAAATTTATATAAACACAATATACCTATAAATATTATCCTATCTAGTCCCCACAGGGATGACTTACTTATTTAAGTCCCTACAAACAAATTTATATAAACACAATATACCTATAAATATTATCCAATCTAGTCCCCACAGGGATGACTGGAAAATGACAAGAAATTGAAATGAACATTAAAATAATTAAGATTTTGTTTTACTCACTCGCTGCTGATGTAACTACCAATGCTCTGGATCTTCTCCACGATCCATTCCTTGTTTTCTTTACAGAATTTCCCCGCTAAGCGTGGAGTGCCCTGACTCTTAGCTGAAACAGAGACATTAATTCTTAATATCAGTGAAATAAAATTTCTTTTACTATGACTGACTAAAGATAGAACACACTTGATTTATGTGTACAATGGAATCTCCTTACTCTGGACAAAATCATGTCCACAGTCTGATGAGGTGTGTAAACTGAAACTTGGTTGGTCAGGGCATTTTATACGATGGAAAACTTGTTAGTCTGGACATTTTATACAATGGAATTTTTGTCAGTCTGGACACATCTGTCTGGACAATTTATGTGATGGAATTTTTGTTAGTCTGGACATATCAGTCTGGACAATTTATACGATGTAAAACTTGTCAGTCTGGACACATCAGTCTGGACCTTGTTTATCTAGACACTCACACTTTGTGTAGACCAGTGTGCTGTATATACAGTCAGCCAAGAGAAGCAACTGATCCTTGTCGTTCTGACTGAGGGAGACTCCTGTGATAGACTGTATAAAGTTGAAGTCGGACAGCTTACACTTCAAACAGGTGGCTATAATCTGAACATCAACAGAACATAATAAGTATACTGGTATAAAAATAATATAAAAACTTACATGTAACCAAAACATATCACAAAAACAAACAGAAATTACATCAAGATTTACTGTACACAAACTTCAAGTGATGAAAAAGACCTGATCACTTGTTGGCAAATTAGTGCAATGATGAATTGGCATATCAACATTATTAGTTATGAAAACACCATACAGAAACTGCAAAAAGTGCCATCATATGTCAGCACGAAAAGCCCAATTAAATAGAATTAATACAAAAATGTTAACAGTAGTGAGTTTAATGTTAACAGTATTCAGTTTAAAGTTAACGTAGTCAGTTTAAGTCAACTTATCAACATCATAATTTTTTCTAATTCTTTATTCCATAAATTGAAAAGTAACAGTATTTATTATGAAAAAGCGCGACCAGAAAAAAAAAATTGTTTACAGACTGCATAAATTTTTTTTTTCCGAGATCATGATATAAACATGGCAAAACAATGTGAAGGCCTCCAACCTCTCCCACCATTCTCCAGAAAACAAAGGCCATAACTATGAATATTGTGAAGCCTAACCCACCTTGAGACTGGCACATTTGTGAGGAGACTTGATTCCCTTCAGTGTACACTGTTCTTGCATCATACGCATCAGGATACACACAGCAGTAGGCAGCACGTAAACATCCTCTGCCATCTGACCCAGGAGAGTACGCAAGGACACGTCAATGAATTCTTTATTTGCTGTTGAAATAAGAAACCATGTGAATATTCAAACACTTGGATATTACTCAATTTGAACAGATTATAACAATAATGAATTTGTACATAAACTAATATTTATTTCAGTGCAAAATTTTATTTAAAATTTCATAAATTGTGATTTATAATAAAAAATTGAAAGCAACAGAATCCATTCAATGTAAATCTGTTGCTTTAAAAGCTAATTTTTTATAACTATTAAAAAAAATAACAAGAAATACCACATACTGTCAAACACTTATTTTTGTGGGAGATATATTTGAATTGGTTTTCTATATATGAGTACTAGCTACATGCCATCAAACGTGTGTGACTTGGTGGGTGGGGGATTATATATGAGTACTAGCTACATGCCATCAAACTTGTGGGACTTGGTGGGTGGGAATTATATATGAGTACTAGCTTCTTGCTATCAAACTTGTGTGACTTGGTGGATGGTGTTTTATATGTGAGTACTAGCTACTTGCCATCAAACCTGTGTGACTTGGTGGATGGTGTTTTATATGTGAGTACTAGCTACTTGCCATCAAACCTGTGTGACTTGGTGGGTGGGGGTTTATATATGAGTACTAGCTACTTGCCATCAAACTTGTGGGACTTAGTGGGTGAGGGTTTATATATGAGTACTAGCTCCTTGCCATCAAACCTGTGTGACTTGGTGGATGGTGTTTTATATGTGAGTACTAGCTACTTGCCATCAAACCTGTGTGACTTGGTGGATGGTGTTTTATATGTGAGTACTAGCTACTTGCCATCAAACCTGTGTGACTTGGTGGATGGTGTTTTATATGTGAGTACTAGCTACTTGCCATCAAACCTGTGTGACTTGGTGGGTGGGGGATTATATGTGAGTACTAGCTACTTGCCATCAAACTTGTGTGACTCAGTGATGGGAGTTCATATGTGAGTACTAGCTACTTGCCATCAAACTTGTGTGACTTGGTGGGTGGGGGATTATGTGGAGGACAACCACAGGGTAGCTCAGCAAGTACAGTCATCACTGGCCGAATCTGATGTCCCGAACGGTCACTGGTAACCAAATACTCTAACACAGGCTTCAACACTCTGCCAAATAAAAATGGTGGACAACAACTTATCTCATGTTTCTTAATCTAAATGTATTGACTCTGATATCTTATACATTATACATTAAAAATATTTACAAAATGCATCTGTTTATAAAATCTCATATCTAAACTCATTAAAAAAAATAATGATAGTTTTAATAAGTTATGTAAAACTAACCTGAGAACAAATGGTTCCATTAGGTCAAATATTGTATACATCCAAACAGGAATCTATAAGTAAACAAAAGCTGTATGTAAATACAACTTCATTTCTAACATTAGGAACACTGATCAGACTTCCTACTTTGAGATTTTCTTTACTTGATTATAAGATTTATAATTAAATCTGGTAAAGTAGTGAATGTAATATATTGTGATTAGTTTATGCCAGAACAAAGTATGTGTAATAAATGTATACAGGAATTATTCACTCAATAAAATATTCATGAAAAGAAATATTCATATTCTGTAAAATTCAGTTAATGAAATATTAACTTTTTAAGAAAATAACCAATGAAATATCCATCTATTGAACAGAATAGTCATGTTACTTTATCCGATGAAATCAAGTTAACATTTACCATATAAATCTCATTTTTTTCTAAGTTTCTACAGTTATGATACATACATCAAAGTCGCGTCCTGGCACATGCTTCGTCTCCATATACACCCAATGTTCACATCTGTGATAAAATAATTCCAATCAATATTGATCACATTAACTGGCCAGTTGTGTGATATGCAGCCATGTCATAATATATTGTAAGAATCATGTGTAATAACACTACAGTGATGTCATGAATAAGTCACATCATAATGACATCATTTGATTAGTAGTTGAAAACACACCATCTTCGTCAAATAAGTCTGTCATATAGAAAAATTTATTTTGAAATTTTATGGGTTTTTCAGAAATACATATGATAAGGAGAATCATGATGTTAAATGGAATAAAACATGATCAGATGTAGACTAATCTGCACCTGATACAGAACTGAAAATGTCATAAATCAAAATTATTGAACTCCTTTAATATATACCAGGTTATCATGACACTCATGTCAGATTTTCCATATATTACAGAAAAAAAACAAGTTTATCAGGAAAGTTATGTTCCCAACATTATGTCTAGATCAACAAAATCAATGTCTAAAAAGTTATCAAATACAACTGATAGTATCAAAGCAACTCAACCATGCTTCTCATTCCACTTAAGAAATCTAACGCTATTGTCCAGAGTTTTAGGAGACATACCTGTCAATCACAGGAACAATTGCTTTAGCAACAGCATCTGGGAAATGCTGGGAGCACGTGGAAAGAACACTGACAATGGAATTAAAAAGTTGTTTGACATCTGGGTCAGAGGTCAAGGCTGCAACATTTGAGGTCACTTCCTTTCTTGGTGAATTGTGGGAGTTTTTATATGGATTGAGAACACTTTGTGTCAGGAAGAGAATTGGGAGGGTGAAATTCTTCATCACCAATGCCTGAAAAACGATTAGAACATATAATTAACTGAATGGTTTCTATTGTTGCATTCAATTTCCTATCATCTGGCAATAAATTAAAAAGTTATTGTTTTCTTGGTTCACATATACACACAAACCACATGGCAGAGTAAAATACAAATTCTGAAATCAGAACTGAACAAAGGGTCATAATTCTGTTTATTGTGAAGCAATAAACATTAATTCACTGTGCAACATTTTATCACACAAAGAGATAACCATATATAAAATGGTTAAATTGTAGTGTAGAGAAGATGTGCCCCAATCAATGTCACATGCAGCCAGAGAAAAAAATATGAGTTAAAAAACCTGTCCTCTTGTCTTCTTTCACTCAGAGTAACAGTACCTTGACTATCATTGCCCAGTCAATCTCTGGCTGACTCAGAAGAAGCTTGCACTGGATGTAAAGTGCTGTGGTTGTCTGCATGTCATCGTAGCTGTAATCATAAAATAAGCACCAAGATCAAGTTTCTGCTGCCATCAAATTAAGTCATAGCAAAATATATTCCTTATTGATGAATCTTAGGTAAGCAAGTACTTTGCCCTAAATGGCTTAGCTTTTACAAAAATTAGGCATTCAATGTATAATAACTCAATCATTTAAAACAGATGCATCTTGTCAGAATTTAGACTCTTGTCTTGAGAATTTGGTCTTGAAAAGGAGAATACTCTTAAGTTTTTTCATGATAGTGACTGTATAAAAAGTGCCTTCATGAAGTGACACTCACTGCTTGTGACCAGCCTCGAAAATAGTTGGTTGTATCCATGACAACCAGTCAGTGTTTGATCCTGGGACGTCTTCTACTGGTGAGACAATCTCTGATGTCTGTTTGTCAGAGCGCTCATAGAACCCTCTCTTAAAAACTCTGTAACACACAAAATTGATAAACCAATAAAAGCGAAGAAATTGCTTGAGTCGTTACAAACTATAAAATCCCTTCAAAGCTACGACATTGCTGAAACTATCAAAAACTACAAAATTATTATGCCATTATAAACAAATATATCTTCAGCCATCTTGACTGCAGACTGAGAACGCAGTCTGTGAGTTTCTACATCTATGGACATGTCCGAAAAAAATTAGAGTTAGAGCTACAACTATACTTTGACAGATTTACACAAACCAATATCACCTTTATACAACAGTATTTCTTGGTAACAGTATTATGTGAAGGATTTTCTGCTAGAAATTTAGTAATTGTTTCTATGCAAGCTACAACATCTGGTACATGCTCATAGTGGATATCATATGTAAACACAATTGGAAAGACTTATACTTTCTACACATATGCTTTAGACAAAGTTTCATCATTTTCCATTTCTCTATCTCATCACTTACTTGTACAAGATGTCCAAGGGAGAGGTGACGATGGCTACACTGGCCAGGAGAGTAGAACAAAAGTTCTGTATGAGATAGTGTGGGAGCTGTGAGTGACCAACATCCAGATACATAGAAACAGAACTACAGGCTGGCAATAGGAGCTCTCCCATACACAACAGTATAGACAGCACATCCGTTCTGCATAAAAACAGGTCTCTTCGTCATCAAAAATTGATTTTCTTGTTCCATACATTCTTTCTTCTCTTCTCTAATGTTATCAATTTTTTGTTATTTTTTTAGTCTTTTCCCAATTGCAAAAAACCAAGAACAAAATTAAAAGCAATCCACATTTCCAATTTCTTGCAAAACTTTAGCGGTAAAAAAAGTATTAAAAGGTAACAACTCTACAGGAAGCAGGAAATAACACAATTATTGTAGAGTGGATTTCTACCATTCAAAGCATTCAAATTCAGAAATGTTTTATTTTCTATCATATTTTTTCATTGGGTTTACCATCCCATCAGCAGCCAGTCATTTTGAGGTTGATTTTTTTTGGGATAGCTGGTAGCTACCTCAGAGAACAACATATAAGAGGCACATTACATGCCACTCAGAGTGATTGAGATATAGTGTCTTGACCTTGGACACAACCATGACAGTATAGAACATTGGCAATTTCAGAAACCTGATAAACAGACAGGGAATAATCATGTATGACTGAGGTATTCATACGAGAATGAAATGTCCGATAGCTAATCATGCAGATTCTTGAAAGTAAACCATCAAGTAACACTAGGCATGTACCTACCTGTACTGTTCTGTACGCCTGTAGGATGGTTTGGCATGAGCGTATCTCTTGGTGAGGATATGTACAGATTCATGTAAGACTTTACTGTAAATTCGCTGCCCAAGACGTGGAGGACACATCAACCAGGCATCATGGTGCAGACCACGCATATGGTAATTCCACATCTGTATGGTAAAGGAACAGCGCTCTCCCTACAAACCAAAATAACACATTATATAATTCTAATATTAGCGAGAACAAGACATCAGAAATGATATAAATTACATTTAGGTTCAACATTAATAGATAGGCAATAAAAAATAGCCCAGTGTATGAAATCATCAAGGATCATCTAAAAGTAGTGACAGTGAAATTGACCCAACAACATGAACAAGTCCTTTAAAGGTGTGTGAAGTTAGATCAAAACCCTACAAAGAATGAAGGCTGTCAAGGATTTTCTAAAAATAGTAAAGCTGACCTTGACCCTATAACACTGTAATTTAAATGTATAAGATATTATGGTCCTTTCTAAATGTGTGAAGTAACAAAATTCATATGGGAATAAAACAGCTAGAGAACTAACAAATTTGCGCACATATGTACATGTGATGTACATGTACACATAAAGATGTGTGTATGTAGATGTAAAGATGTCTGTATGTACATGAATGGTAACATCCTAATATCCCCTCCAACTTGGGATCAAGTTCTGAAGAAATTTTCAAACCAATATGTTAATGAGATACAAAATAACCACTATACTATACTTGCAAAACAAAAAAGGTGGAAAAACTTTCATTCTTAAGCATGAGAAATGAGCATTCTATATTTGAACCCAGCAAAATGCAGAGACTTTATCATCAGAGTTTCATGAAAATGGCACTCTTATACCCTGTATCAGTAACTCTTGTTCAATTACCTCAAAGAACTCTTTGGTGTCAGCCCAGTTGTTGCTCTCAGTATCATGTAGGATACTGGTGGCCATGAAGTTATTATGGATTTCTGTGGTGAGCTTACTCAGGGCCTCCACCAGTTCCTCATACTGCTTATACAGCACTGAGAAAACCTTTTTACTATCAACAAAACAACATACAACATCTGATTGTCTACAAAAATATAAAACATCATCTAAATGTCAATAAATTAAACAAAATCTTTCAATGTCAACAAATGTACAGGATTTCATTGTCACCAAAAGTATACACAAAAACCATTTATACGTCAACAAAAGTATACACAAAAACCATTTATACGTCACCAAAAGTATACACAAAAACCATTTATACGTCAACAAGACATTTCAACTGTATATCTGTGGAAGATTCTGCAAATGTATTTAGAAAATTGTGAACATTTCTGAATCTTCCACCAATATAAGTTCCAGTGATGACATTCCAACACAAAAAATGAAAGGACATATTCTAAATTATGTTTTGTATTCTTGAATCAAAATTATGCCATTTTATGCAAAATATGCCACAAGGATAAAATCCAGTGATTTGAGATATTGTGATAGAGGTACCTGCTATCCTCAGGACTAAGCACTGACTCGTAGTGATACAGATGATTCCTGATGTAAGCAGCACTGGATAGAATAGCATATAAACTCTTCATGGGAGCATTCCGTGGGATGTCGCCACTCAACTGAAAGACCACAAATAAAATCTTAAAGCATATATTGATAATTACTAGCAGTGTTAAAATTTCTCTTCAGAAAAAAACTAGTTATTTGAACACAGGACAACAGCATTCTTGTTGATTTTCCAGAAGGAAGGAATTAGTTGATTTAAAAATTGTTCTCAAGCAATAGCAATCAAATTTCAACTGACATAATCCAAAAGTAAGATTCTCATTTGGAGATATCAACAATATTTACTGCCCAATTAACTGATATTCTCTAGAGTGTGTAATATAGCTTTCTTACCTTTGTGAGATGTACATGGAAGTTCTGTAAACACAGATTAGTCGAGTCCACAAAAGCAGTCCTTACGCAATGAAGTACACTGTCAGATCCTGCCTTAGCAAAAGGCAACAGAAAATCCAACTCATTCATGAAGTCCAGCACAGACTGTAAAAGCAAACAGAACATACTAGTCCAAAACAAGTTAAAAGTACTTTTGTCTTGCTCAATAGCAGAGATATCAGATCCCGATTCCCTCAAAACTGTAGTTATTTTGTTCACTTAAGCTTCCTTCCCTCCCTTTGTGAGAGACTTAGGATAGCCCAGCTTCCCTCCTTACCACTGAGACAGACCATTTAATAGTTCAGCACTCCTCTTTAAAGATTTTTGATAGATTTGGGATAGTATAACTTGCCTCCCTACTTTTGTGACTAACTTGAACACTTGGAATAGTCCAGATTCCCTCCCTTCTTTAGTTATATACTTGAGATAGTCCAGCTGCTTCCCCCATTCCACTGTGGCAGACTTGGGATAGTCCATATTTCTTTTCGATCTTAATAATAGAATTCAGATACTTAATCAACAGAATTCCCTACCTTTGTGATAGACTTGGGATAGTCCAGCTTTCCTCCCCACATGTCCTCTCTAACCATCTCTGTCTGCAGGACATGAAGTTCTATCCAGTCCTTCAACTCCTTGTCCAGTGTAGTCTTCAGGAGGTTGCGTATCTGCTTGTCAACACATTGTGATAAATCCTTAGCAATCTTTTTGAACATGAGTTTCCATTCCCATCTTAGTCTCTCCTCTGCTCGCGCTTTCTCCACAACTGTAAACAACAAGCCATATTTGTACTGTCTTTATTTCTTCACCAACTGATGATAGATTTTTTCATAATATTAAACACCTCAACACAGTCTTTAGAGCTTTATGACTGAATCTTACTGCATAAGTCCTAAGCTCCTTACTGTCCACAGAAAGGGCTAAAGAAGGCATCAATTTGTTAGCTGTGAGCTACCAGTGAGTATTTTTTTGTTGAATGGCACTGTGTTTATCAATAAATGCTTTCTTTATTATTATTACTTTATATATACTCAAACCTTGTTATCTCAACCTCGGCGGGACCATGGGGAAACTTTAAGATAAATGAGTATTTGGTTTAAGTGAGTTTGAATGTTTTGTGTACAGTTAGGTAAGGGCTTAAGATAACATGGTTTGAATGCATGTATCTTCTGCCAAAACTGTTTTCTCAGAAAATGTAAATCATACCCAGATTGATGATTTAATGTATGAAATGATACATTTTATTGAACTTTTTATCAAGTCTATAGCAACAATAAGAAATTTATCAAATTCAATTAAAAAATCTGACAATTTCAAATGTTTACAAAAACAGTAGTACAGTAGTAGCATACATTATGTTTACTATGGATTCTTTTGTCACAGCAAAGATGAGTTTTTCTACTGTAGTTAAGAATTATATCTTACATACATAGCCATAAAGGCATGTTGTCTGTAATGTAGGGAGAATCAAATATTATTCTTGACACGTTAAAATGTTTTCTTCAGATAAGAAAATATATACATGTATACATGTACATATATGAATGATCAATGAAGTAATAATGACAGTACGCACAAGTGCATTGTCAAATTTTTGTGGCAATCTGCCTCAAAGAGCATAAAGCAAATACAAAGTTATAAAGTTAAATCGAGAGCAGTGGTGCAAATTTTTGTGCCTTGATAATCCCTTCATCCCATGAACACCGAAGGCACTTTATAATGGGCCAAAAAAACATCAGAAGTTATTGTATAGAAGATGGTGATTAAAATATCAAAAATGTTTTATACAATCTCTGTATGTTTTGCAAGGTACCTTCATCACTTTCATCAGACCAATGACCAGTAAGAAGATTTTAGCACTGACTTATAAAAGTGCACAAGATGGTCATCAATCGACTGGACTTCAGCTGCACTACAATCTTGGTATATAAAATGATGTATACATCATCAGGAAATCATACAGAATCTTCCATATGTATGTTTGGTGATCACAACGTACCACCCCTAGAGAGCTGATATTAAGGTTACCCTTTCTTCAAAACCTTGCCACTAAAACATTGCATATTAATCTTTCATCTGATGAAGGTACTGATTATGATTTATAAACATCTGCTGTTCATTCCTGAGACGAGAGAATTAAATTTCACATACCTTTCGGGGCAGGCATGTTGTCTGTGAGAGCTGACAATGAAGAGCCAAATGATGAGAAGCTGTCTGTGAAGGAGACATCATCAGCATGGCCGCTGAAGCTAACAGGTCGACGTACTGGTTCAGGACTGGAGCTTGTCTTCAGAACACCTGAATTCAGAAATGGAAGAGATATTTTACTAGTAGCAAAGATTTTCAAAATTGATCAAAGTTCTTATTTGTAAATTGTTCAAAATTCAAATAATGATAAAAGGGAATTAAATGCTACTTGCATACAGTTTATTATTTTCAAAAAGTTCTATAGTTCTCTCTTTTTTTGAAGATGAAACCAAACAGCAAAAGAATGTACCTTGAAAACAAAGTTACCCACAAAAAGAGTTCAATTCATTAACTTCTTTGAAAAATACATTCCTTTTATCAAGCTTTTGATAAAACCACAAAAATTTGAACCAATGAAAAAGCACAACATTTGCAGTATATTCTCTGAAAACTCTCAAAGATTTTAACAAGATTTGAGAAATGACCTGTACAAATAACAGTTTTTATGTAGAATTGTTTCAAGCAAGTCCAGAACACCATTTCCAAACTTTTGATGAATCTCATTTCTATGAGAAAAAGTAAATTCCACAGAAAAAGCTTGAGTTCAAGACTCAAATATCCTAGTTATGGCAATAAGGAAAAAGGGGGAGATATATGACATTAATGCATGTAAAGACTTACCTCTTAGACTGCCCTTTCTCTTGACTTTTTTGCTTGAGATTCCTGCATTATCCCATGCAGCACACTTTAGTAAACTTTCTACATGTTCCTCAATGTGAAGTACAGCAGTGACCACATTGAGTATGGACTCTATGTAATCTCTTGGCAGACTAAAAGTTGAGACTTCTTCATCATCAGGGTTAGTCGACGATACAGACTCCAGACTGTGGGCTTTCTCCTTTTTTCCAAGTTTGTTATTACTTTTTCCTAAATGACTGTGGTCACTGGAAGATTGAGGGGGCTGCTTGTGAATAATTTCTTCAATTTCTTCCCAAATGTCTTCAACAAGTGCAGACATTTCATCTGAAAATTTTTCTAGGTACATGTCATGCATGGCGCGTGCTATATTAAATGACTTTTTGAACACACCAGAATTGAAAATAACAAAATCTTCATCAATCATCTTTAAAATGATATCCGCCAGTTCTCTACAATTTTTTGTCACAGCCACAGAATTATATGACTCTGAATCTGCATCAGGAAGGAGAGTATGGAAACAGTGGTCCAGCTGCTGTGATCTCAATGTCTGATATTTAATGAGCACATCTTCTGAAGGGTACAGTGTGGACAAACTCTGGATATATTCCATGCGTTTGTTTTCATACAAATCCACTACTTGCTTTTGGCTGTCGATTGGAAGCTTTGTAAGACGATCTGTGAAATATCTGCGTAGGTGCAATGCTATTCTATCCCATTGCTGACTGATGTTTTCCTCACAGTTGTCTGTGGCAATGTTAAGAGAAGCCATAGAGGCCATTGGATCTGTCCCGCGAGGCCTGCTGGTGTGAGGGAGAGACAGGCCCTCAGAGGAGGACAAGGACAGTAACTCTTGTAGTATTGACTCCTCACAACCAGGGTGCTGCTCCAACATACCACTCTGTAAAGTTTTAACCAAATAATTTTAAATAATAAACAAAATTTATTGATATAATTCATTGGTTCACAAATATTTTTTGAAAGTTAATAATACAACCATCTGCCGCATCAAGAAACCACTCTGTTGCAAAATTAAAATGATTTGATATAAAAAAAATTTTAAAAATGATATGAATAGTTTTTTTTCTGTGATAAAGAATTATTTGCTTTTAAAGATAACTTGTTAATAATAACCATGGAATAAAAATGTTTCACAACAGGATTAAGGGAACTTTTGAAGTGTTCATTATTAAATAAGAAATAATTTAGGGAAAATTAATGTTGTTTCAATTTCTCATACTTTCAGTTTAAAAATACCACACCATAAGTGTTGTATCATTTTACAAGAAGTCAAAAATAATTAGTCCATAAAATACATCAAAATAATGTATAAATACAAGGTATCATAATTTTATTCTTCTATCTGAATAATGATTTACAAACATCACACCATGATTAGTTGTAATTACAATTTTATAATAAATCTTACAATATGACTTAGTATTGTATGAACATCTTCTGGTTCTGGGTCATAACATGAATCTTTCTCTAGCATGTTGGCTGCAATCATGTTTGCGATAGCATCTCTTGGATCATCCCATTCTCTGTTGCCTGGTAGTTTGTTGACAGTGTTGAGAATATCTTGTACACATCTGTCTAAGCTGCAACAAACAATATATATACATGTGTATATACACAAACACACACATTATTCAAGTAGAACAAATAAACCCACATATAAACAAAGCAAATGACACATTATTAATGTAAAAACACATTCTTAATTACATTTCTGTTTATTGCATCAAATAAGATGCATTCATTAATGAAGTTAAGTGTTATATAAAATGTAAAATATTATTGACAAAATCACAAATAACTAATTCATAATTTTCAATAGGTTGAATATAAATATTACATTGATGAATGGTTGCTTGGTCACAAAAATGCTGGAAAATTCAATAAAAAGAACAAGTTCATTCATAAGCCCAAACCTGTTAATGCGAGACCTCAAGAAACAGGCTTTCCTTCTAGTCTGTTATGTTTTTGGTATTTTTCCAGTGTACAATTTTACATCAAGTCCCCAATTCAAACTCTACTCTATCACTTCTTAAATCAATCCTTGGATCACTGACTGATAGGTTCTATCTCTGTAGAAAAAATACTTCTGGTGAGGGCTGCCTCTGTTATAGACTCTTACTTTCTAGTGTTATCTTCTAACTTGGTGTCCAAGTCCCCTATGTAGGTGTCCAGGGCAGGGATGCTGGGAACACCCTTCTCCAACAAGGACCGTATAGGGGGCACCAGGTCCATCTGGCCCTGTGATCTGGGAGGCTTCTTACTCATGGCATTGTAGATGTCACAACCTGAAAACGGATACAGTGAATTCAGAAGAATGTTAACTACTTATTATTTGCCTGAAGTTTTAAAACATGGACACTGAATCAACAGACAGATTTTTTGTAGGAATTGAAAATTTTAATGAGCCCAACAGGAATAAAAAGAGTTCAGAACTTAGATATCCGAGACCCAATCCTCTTCACATTTATCTGAACCTTTAAATGCCACTTTTCCCCAGTACAAGGACTGTACATGAGAGTTGAAATGTTAAGATTATAATTCTTCTCCCTTAATTCAAATAGATTCACACAAGTTCACATCACTGTGTATATCATATATATGACCTAGTGAACATTGGGGACTCAAATATTTTAGTTAAGCATTCGTGCTTTTCCTGTGGAACTCACAGAACTTCGAGTTCAGAGTAAGGACTCGTCAAAATTGTGGCATAAGTGTCCTGTAGTCGTTATTTATAAGACATTTTGTAGAGGGAAGCCATAAAGCCATCTGGTTTACAGTATTTCATCCTGAATTTTGATACGTTGTTCTCATACTTCGGCCTATTTAGGAGTCTATCAGCTCCGGTTGCCCCTTGCGCAACAAATGTACACCTAATATTTATCAAAAAGTTTCCATTTTAAAAAAGTATACTAATAGCTCAAAGATTTTTCGCTGAGTTCTTTGAAGGTAAAAATGTCGGGACTGTCCGATAAGTATTGACAGCTGCAGCTTTTAACATGCTAAGATTGCTATCAGTTGAATATGCTAAATTCCTTTATCCATAAGTATCAGCAACGCAGCTTAAATGTGTGTGCGTTCCAATACAACTTACCATGATATTAGATATATAGGCAAACAAAAAGGAATGTTATGTGCTCGTTATCACGCTCCCTCATGTACTTTTTTGCAACCATCACTGTTTTTCTTACCGGAAGTAAACAAAAAGAAGTACGTAAAACGACTCCGTCACCGGATGATATTTCCGGGCGTTAGGGGTTTGGGCGTTTTGTACAACGACGCAAGTGGGGTACGTTCACACTCTCAAAGACGATGGAAAATAAATGATACGTTCTTATTCAGGATTATATCCTTTTTAATTATCTCGTATCGTGTTCAACAAAAAACTTCAGACATGTCACCTGTCTCATAGATAAAAACGCCTTATCGATGAAACGATAAAAATCTAGACGGGGAGGTGCAGCAGCTCCATGATTAATAAATTTCTTAACTTTCATATATCAGGCAATTTTAAAACAATGTCAAATACATATGTATATGTACAAAGGTTATATTTTCACATGGGACATGTAGCGATCATTTACGAGATAAATGAGTTAAAAGCACTCTAATACACCAGAAACATCGAACACAGCTAATTTCATAAGGCATATGCCACTCTTGTTTTTTTTTATGATTTATACGATGCGAAAATAAAAACATAAAAAAATGAAATAGTATCTTTCGCTTTGTCATTTTGAGGAATATGACTGCGCCTTTTGATATTCGTTTTTGACATCCGCTCCGAAACTGTCCAGAGACACTTGTATATGTCGAAGTGTAAGCATAATGATAAAAAAGACCTAAAGTATTAGTCTGAAATCTAACACCCCAGGGATGATTGCTCTTGTGAACAGTTTGAAAGAAGTTGACGAGAATGTTAACTATTTCTATATCCGATGATTTTATGTAATCAAATTAATTTCTTGAATGCCGCAAACAGTCATTTAAAGGGAACCCCATCTACCGTTTACCACACCGATATATTAAAAGAAAACAAATGATCGGTACTCCAACGACATTTATAGGCTATCAATTCTTTAAATGCTTGTGCCAGCATAAACAATCTTTTTTATATTATATCTATAAATGTCTTATTCACATATCTATCTTTTTCGCTGGCGTCTCTTCGTGGATTGCCTTGATACTCCGTAAATTAATTCTTGCTTTCTAAAATTTACAATCGCCTCAAGCTGCAATGTGGGTAAAAACTTCAAAATATGGCGGCCAGCGGGCTGCAATGAAATCTTCGGGAACCGGTTGTTTACTTATACTTGATTATATGTCAAAGACACTTCTGGAAAATGTCTGATGCGAAAACACACACTCAACTTGTTTTTCTTGTAGATGTGAACAAGAACAACTACAGTTGTTATTCTGATGATCCGAATAGTTCACAAAAATATGTAAACACGATTTGCCTGTCAGCTCTTCGATTGCTAGTTTATTTCGCATCCGAAACGGAAGGATTACTTTCGAATAAATCGTCGAAATCCAAAATCAAGCAGAATTCTTTGAAGTGGGGATTCAAATTTTTCAATTCGGGTCATCACTATAGTAGAGTAGGTGGACACATTTTGCGAGATTTCAAACTAAGATACTTTGAAGAATTTGAAAATGAAGTTGAAAGAAAATTTGAAGAGATATTTAATGAACAAAAATCTGAGAAGACACATATTGCCAGTGATTGTCTGCGAAAGGCTTTGATGGAAATCATCTATGATTTTCAATGGGAGAAACCTGATATAACTTCACCAATTAAACAACGACGGACGTCGCTGGTAAACCGTGATGTGACGCACAATAATAATTTGGTTTTCATTTTCTCAAAAGTTCCAGAAAACCCAATTGCTTTGCGGAAATTTGCAGGAAAGAAAGTTATTGATGCAGATGTTTGTTTAGATTTATTTATGCCCAAGAGTCTCTATAGGGAATTCCATGGCTTGTATCAGCTTCAGCTCTTCTGGGTCGATTGTTATGATATTTTGGTGAGTTTAAATGTTTATGAGATGCCAGTATGTGTCATTAAAAAGTTCTTAAGTCTTCAAAACATCACACATGCATTGGTTTTTTACTATTGACTTCTATGTACCTGAGTCTATGATTTTACTAGTTGGAAATTTGAGACTATACAAATAAATGACTTTGATTATTATGATATTTTGATTTATATACATACAATGGCATATATCTTAATGTTTGTGAATGTATATACTTCATATTTCAACAGACAAGACCTGGCATAGATCCTGAGAGTCTAAAACTACTCGAAAAAACTCTCAACAAGATTGGAGGCCATTTAATACCGGCAGAAATATTAGTCCAACTATGTGAGAAATATGTGACAAATATTTCTAGTTTTTTTCCTGTGACCAAATCTGATGAGCAATCAAAAATAATCCAAGGCCAACAAGACATATCGTCGAAACAGGAAGACTGTGTCAATGTATTGAGAACTAATCAAGAGTTATGCAAGTCAGGAGTTGCAAAAACATCACATATATTTCGTCCTGTTTTACCTTTCATTCCAATCGTTTGTGATCTGCTGAATTACTGTCAAAATGCCAGATGTCTGAGAACTAACGCAGGAGTTGAAGAATCATCGTGTTTGGTCTCTCTCCTAGCACAAAATGGTATATAGTTACATAAAAATCTGTTTTATTTGTAATGTAGAGCACATACCCATGTCAAAATTTCCTCGATTGGTATATATTGAATCACTGCATTACATGCAATAGTTGAAATAGCTTACACCCAATATCATGTAATATTTTAACTTTTTCTCTAGAATTAATAGATTTGCTTAAGAGCAAGGGAAAATTATCAAAGGATTGTTTTGATTCATTTACCAGTATATGCAATTATTTATCTTTGAAAAATGTTTGCAAAGACATTTAAATGACTTTATTTCTCTGTACACACACCTGCACACTTTTGTTGTATTTAATTATCTGTACATGTTTTATGTCTCAAACAGTAATGATATCCTGATTTTGTATGTATTTTCACATTGAAAAATATTTAAGAATGTATTAAACTTTGTGTTTCAGGAAAAGCCTTTTGCGAGTTGGAGGTTGTCCCCATGTACAAGAATAAAAGGTAACAATGATTATACAAATCAAATGAGAATTGAAGAAATTTCAATCTTTCAGACATTTTTATTTCAAAGCCAAACAGAATTGATTTTCAACAGCATTTCCTTTATAAAAAATTGATATTCATGGTTCTAAAGATAAAGGTAACTTTTCCAAGGGAAATAACTCAAACACAATACACATATGCAAGGTATATGTGAAATGGTTTTAGAAAAGTAACATGCAATTCTAAATAAATTTTACCATTTATTTCATAGACTTTTTCTTAATTTTTTTTTTAACTCTTAACATTGTTGTATATCTTTTTACAGTCAATAAATACCATTATAAAAAGCACTGATTGAGTAATGACCATTAAACTTGATATATCTACATATCATGTTTTTTGTGACATTATCATATTATAGTATTTATTCAATGTTTTTATCAATTCAACACAGGACTGACATTCAACAAAATGCAGGTGTCCAGGCCTCTGTTGATGGGAACACAAGGGAGGTGGATTTTGGAGGTTACAACATTCTGTCTCTGGAAGAAGATGTTGTCAGGAAACCCTTGCTCGCAAAGGGTGGGATAAAATCCCTGCGTGTGTGTGCCGTTTTCCTGACCCAAACATGGTTGCAACAGAAGTGGATGGGACAAGAAGAGTGTGTGTGTACAGCAACAGGACGTAACAGGACTCGCTCTGTCATGTTTGAAGGATTACTTACAAAACTTCATAAAGAAAAAAGTTGTCTGGTAGGTTTTTTTAAGAGAATTTAAAGATCATATAATAGGGTGCAATAATATATATCTTGGGTTTTTTTTTAACACTTAATTGTGTATCTTATAAATTTGTTTTGTTTAATTTCCCTGTATGTGGTACTCTAAAAGAACTTAAATATTCATTTAATTTTATCAAACACTTAAGATATGGACTTATATTTTTTAAACCTTCTGCAGAGATGTGATCAACTGTGCAGTCATACCCAGAATGTAATAAAAATTATTCTAAGAGCTTTTGATAGTGTTTACTTTTTAAGTGTATGACATCATTTATAATGAAATTTAACTTTTTGTGTATATCTGTATTGAGATATGTATCAAAGCTTAAAACACAATATGTGTCATATCATGTTATGGTTAGTATATTTGTTGTGCAACTTTATAAAATCAATGGATTCAGCTGTAAATTACATGATAATGTTATATTCATGTTTAAAAAATGCAACCCATTAAAAAAAATCATATGAACAATATAACATTCTGTTCAAGACTGATTTCTCAACTTCATAAAGATTGAAAAATTTTCTAACAACTTGAGAAAATCTGAAATACAAAAAATAATGATATATTTTGTGTTGATTACCATAAATGAGCTGTTTCAAAGTGAAATTTGCGAAAAATTTGTTTGGCTGTAACAGTCTCATGATGACAGCGAACCTTTTTCTAGTATGTTTTTCCATTGCTATAAAATCACAGATGATTGAAACAGAATTCATGGACCTGTTGTCATTGATGGAACACAAATTTCTGAAAGCATGGAGATGTGAGCATTTTTGGTTCTATGCTATAATAAGGAGGATTACATGAGCATATCACAACCTCCCAAAAACACACAAAACACCTGCACTGACATTGCATACATAGGAAGGTCATCCTTTAACGACCCTAGCTTATGATGGAATATTCAACGATATAAAACCAGAACCAAACCATATTTTTTTTCTCTTTTAATTTTATACAATTGTTGGCATTGCAGATTTTGGAGGTCAAAGGTCATGCATCCTTAGTAATTCTGAAGCCCCTGACAACGGTGTCTGCATCATTATCACTCCTAAGTGTGGGACATACACTAGCTCTGGAAAAGTCCCTGTATCAGGACAGGAGAGGTATCTTGGACATAGAACTTGAATCTCTTCAGAAAAAGAAGGGACCATCTTGGTCAGAGCTTGTTACCAGACTGACAGAAAAACAGCAAGTAACAAAGTCAAGTAAGTTTAATGCTGTGTCAAGAAACATAAATTGCAGTCCAAGCATCTGGAATTTCCTGTCAATGAAATGATAAACAGATAACCAATCTATGATCATGACTGAGGTCTCAAGTGAGAGAAAAAACAATAAACTGTGACTGTGACAAGGTTTTGATATCACAATTACTGAGTACACATGTATGAGAACAAACAATGTCTTGCTGCCTTCGACAAAGGGGCTGTAAGTGAGCTTTGGAGGGCTGGCAGTGGGCTCCAGAGAATATGTCTTTAAGATTTCCAAAATGTATATTCTTATTTTGAATTATTTTGTTACTGTTCAGATAAATTCAGAGATAAAGCAATCTGACTGACTTTTCAAAATGACATGGGTCAACCCAACATCACAATCTCGTGGGAAAAAGAGTGTTGTATTGAATACCCTTGTACAGTCATATGAATAATCAGACAATACTTCAGCATTATTCATATGTAATGACAAATTATATTTTACAGGAAGAGAGGCAAACCAAGTTGAAGCATGCTTTGACCCAACAGTGATAGGGAAAGCCTATCTTCCTGGATGTCATCAGTCATTTGGTCGTTTGCTTGACAAACTCAACCAGAGGTATCTATCTCCAACATTTTAAGCACCAAGTATTTGAAAAGATACATTTTCTGGAAATTTGAATTTTCAGCTATTAAGATATTCAAATGTGCTGATCTAGTACTTAATGAAGCTCTAGAGCAGTGCTCCTGTCTTGTAAATCTATTAGAATGTTATGCTATTGGCTTAGGACACTCAGCAGTATAACAACTAACCAAAACCTTGATTCATGAGGAGAAAGTGACCACCATATGCAGTGGTAACCACTTATATCAGATATTATGACATCCCTCTTTTTATAGTACTTTTTCTATGCACTGAATTTTCCCTAAATAAATTAAGTGAAGAAATACCTTTATTATGATATAAATAGTCCAACATGAGATATCAATTACTCTAATATCTTTTTAGTCAAGATCAAAATCTCAGATAAATCTTGGGTAAAGTAAGTGTCCCAGTATGACACTAGTTACTGCTCGAAGTTACTCCGCACACCTGTCCAAGTATACAGCGAACACAAAGCGTACCCAGTTATCGTTAGGAGCAGTAAACAATAGAGCCTGCTGTATCTGTGCAAACAGCCTGACAAAAGACGTGTTGTACAGTGAAAAATCTTGTCTTTCAGACATAATCTCATGAAATTATTATCATGTGACCAAACCACATTTTTGTCTATTTCATCCACTGTTTTTTTTTTTCAGTGAAATTGTATGTTTGTCAAATTATACATATATTATTCATGTTATTTTTAAAAAGGTGCTATCTTTTATAGTATTTTCTGTTCTGTTGGTTCTGCCATACTTGATTAAAACTTGAATCATTCATTCTTGTTAAACAATATGAATCTACCTCGACTTCAGCATCTATCAGCAACAAAAAAACCCAAGCAAAATGGAAAGTGAAAATTGATTTATGTAAGGTCTAAGTTATAGTATTGACAACAGGTTTAAATGTTTCACATGACGTTTTGACTGACATTTACATACAACATTTTACATGTAGTTTTCTTTTTAGGTCATCTGACCCAAATGGTCAAGATGATTTATTGCTATTGTGCATCGTCCATCGGCATTCACCGTTTTCCATTCTTAAAATTTTACTTCAAAACACAACTCCTGCTTAACACCTAGGTGGATTTCAACTGAATTTGGTCTGAAATATCAATGGAGGTGGAAGATCATTTCTTAAATTCAGAAATGTTATTCGACCCCTAGGGACATGGGATGGGATGTTTATTTCTGGTATCAAGTCAAATCGCCCCCCCCCCCCCCCAAGACAAGTCGCCCTTTATTATCTCAAGACAGGTCACCCCCTACATCAAGACAGGTCGCCCCCTACATCAAGACAAGTGCCTCATTCAGAGATCAGAAGAAAAATAATGAATAAAAATATAATTATTTTGTTGTTTGATGCTATTTTATTTATTCCAATTATAAGAATTATGTACACATATACCACATACATACACATTTACACACACCTTTACATGCACATTATCATTATATCACATAAATAACATCAATCATAAATCCAGATATTCAATCATCATATATACACACTTTTACATGCACCTTTATTTTATCATTATATCACATAAATCACATCAATCATTAATCAGATATTCATCAAACATATACATGAAGTTGGTTTAATTTAAGCACTAATAATGATAAATATTTTAGAATGATCAGTGTTGTTACAAGAAGGCGAGAGAAGGTGTTGTTATAAGAAGAACAGAGTCATCGCCTAGGTCAGGAAATGTTTTCTCAAGTAGAGCCATTTGATATACCGGTATTAAATATGTTATTTATAACAACAATATATTTAATACATCTGTGACGCATAACACCTCATTATATTTTTGGGTGGCGTGTTGTCTTGATATGGGGGCGACTTGACTTGCATACTGATTTCCCACTGGAAATAACTTGATAAGAATTATCAGTATAGGATGACAGTTTTGATGATATGCAAGTATTTCCACTGGCTTACTATCATCATTGTCACAATTTCTTTTTCATGATGCTTGAAAGCTTATCTTTTAACCTTTATGATCTATATTGCTTATCACAGGTGACTTTCAAGGCCACTAGGCCTTTTGTTGTACAATAGAAGTTTCATTTGTGATGAATTATCTTTAACATTACATATAACACTGACTTTTCTTTTAACAAGGATATCTCAGATGGATTTCCTAAGTCAAGATGAGAAGAAAACACTTGGAGAGCTTCAGAGACTGTATAGATATGAAAATCAGCCTCCACATACACGAAGCCATTGTCAACGAGGTAGGTGTGAAAACTAGCCTTCACATAAACATAAACAGGCAACGAGGTAGGTGTGAAAGCCAGCCTCCACATACACGAAGCCATTGTAACGAGGTAGGTGTGAAAACCAGCCTCCACATACACGAAGCCATTGTCAACGAGGTAGGTGTGAAAACCAGCCTCCACATACACGAAGCCATTGTCAACGAGGTAGGTGTGAAAACTAGCCTTCACATAAACAGTCAACGAGGTAGGTGTGAAAACCAGCCTTCACATAAACACAGTCACCGAGGTAGGTGTGGAAACCAGCTTTCACATAAACACAAACAGTCAACGAGGTAGGTGTGAAACCCAGCCTTCACATAAACACAAACAGTCAACGAGGTAGGTATGGAAACCAGCTTTCACATAAACACAAACGGTCAGTCAGGTTGGTGTGAAACCCAGCCTTCACATAAACAGGAACCAAGGTCAGGCATTCAGACTTCAGAGGTTGGAATGGTAATACATTTTCAAAATCAATCGTGAAGGAGAAGAAACTATGACAGAGAACTTTATACTTGGAAGTTTTTTGCCAAGGAATGCAAAAACTAAAGGCAGGCCAATGTTTTGTTGCCTCAAATGGCAGTCATTAATATTTATATATAAAACAGTACTGATGGTAAGTTTCCTTTGGGTTATATATGTAGTTATTTGTCACAATTTGCCATTGATATATGTTTGGTCATTATATGTTATGAATTGATTGCCCTTGTCTCAGGAAAATATGAAGGTTTATTAAACCGAAAGCATCATATTCCTGAGTAATTTTAGGAAAATTTATGACATCTGAAGATAAATTAAGATTATTGATTGTTTATTATGCCAAAGCAACAAACACACATTTTGAGTCAACAAAATTTATAATATTCCTTAGTAAACAATAATATGATTCTGTTAACAATTCATTAATATTCATGAGGAGGCTCACCATATCCAGTTACTCTTATGGTTAAAAACAGTTTAAATTTTGGATCTTTTCTCTGTTTCCTTCAGAAGTCCCCGCAAGATTTTGTAAACAAACAGCACAATAATTCCAACAGGACAAATCGGTGACACATGTACAAAGATGGATTTTTTTAAAGTACCACTGTCTAATTGCTTAGGTTTACCAAGTCAGGAGTTAACCAAAGACAAACCGAGCATAGCCCAGGAAGAGGGAAAGAAAGGTCAAGGGTCATTGGCCTCCCGAGGAGAGATGATGGTGACACGAAGCCGACAAGCTGTCAATCAGAAGGGAAAGGATGAAAAGGACAGTACTTCAGGAGACAGTCGATCCAAAGATAAACCCACGTCTGACCAGTTACTTAGTAAAGCAGGTGACTAGACATGGATGTTCATAACAATAATAACATTCAAGCTTCACAGTACACTTGGTCAGAGTTGTAGCTGTTGTTTTGATAACCATTATTCCATTTCTATGTCTGTTGATACTTTTGTTTCTAGAATAATAAAATTTCTGAACTTTACATAGATAATGATAAACCATTATATTGAAATTTGATTACTGGACCAAATATTATTGTGTAGGTACAATTATATGAGTAACTTTTTACATCATGGATATTTCATTTCTGCTTGTTCTTTGTGCTTTGAAAATAAATGAAAATTGTCACTGATGTGTTACTTTTTATGTTTGTTACAGATTTTGCTGATGAGGAAGAGCTAATGACATACCTACAGGATGTATATACTAGTGCCTTGAATAGCAGCAGCCCCAGCCTCTCCGTCTGTAGTCAGACCATCATCACAGTGGCCTTACACTACCTCAAGGAGAGACAGACCTCCAACCCACAGGTACTGGTGTCAGTTATGTATTCTGTGTACAAAATCACACTGTTCCTTGCTTTAAAAGTGCCAAATGTGAATACTTGAATAAATACCACAGTCTGTGAATTTGCCTCATAAATTATGAAATAGAAATTTCCAATAAGTAATAACCAAACTTATACTAACACAAAGTTATGACATTACTCTCTTAATCATCAGAGATTCATAACCAATTGATTTTCTTCCACTTCAAAATCTGCTGCTATCAGTTAATATGTACTGATCTTCATTGTCAGACTCCCTGTTGATGTGGAATGTAAAAAAAAAGTCACTTTTAGTTAAAGATTAGGAAAAGTAGGTTTTTTATAGAGAAGTTTGTATTGATCAGTTTATACCTACTTTGATATTAGAGTCAAACAGTCTTTCCCTACATTGGACAGAAGGGTAATGTATATATTGAAATCTTTTTTTTCAAATAAGTTTTTGTCATGAGTTATCATATTGTAGGATAAAATACACTGATTAGGACCCATATTTATCCAGTAATAAGCCCATGTCTGACAATAAGCCCACTTACATAGTTGCAAAAAGTCCATCCAGAGTCTTATAGTATCTGTTGACCCTTTAGACTTATAATAGGTATAGTGACAAAATTAATAATTGAAATATTTCTGTTCCAGGACCGATGTATAAAGATGTTAGATCAGACTATAATTCTGCCATTAACTGGTCTTCGAGAGAAATACATAAGCAGCAGCACAGATGTGGAAAAGCAACTGAAAATCAGGGAGTATGTACACATTTTACGAGACTCAAAACTTCACTGTAGTTCTCTCTTACATTAATAGACCAGATCGAAGTGACATTTGTCAAGGTGTTCGTACTTGTATAGCAAGCATTTATTATCAGCTGGTTGTCTAAAACCAATTAAAAAATGAAAAAATAAATTAGTTTGCATAAGTAACATTGTAATGATGTGGAATTTGTAGGTACCAATTGCAGATATTGCTGCGACTGGAATGCGAATCAATGCTTGCAGCTGTGGACGTGTCCGAGGTATCCGAAACAGATGATCGAGTTGAACAGGTGACATAAAACATTTATTTCTTTTACTGTGATAGTCAAGATATCTCCAACTTATTTTGTTGGGTAAAGACAACAAAAAAATACATTTACAAGGTCAATTTGTTATGATTTTTATGGCTCTGAACCTTACAAGCTTTTCTGAATTTTGTATAAAATATGAAAAAGATCAAGTACCATCTCATTCTTTTGTTATTAACCATGGGCTAAATGATATATATTAATTCTAATAAATGTGCTCTTCCTTATAACACAGACATGCATACCCTCAACTTGTAATTCAAAAACAAAATATTCCTCAAGGCAAGCACATAATTTACACAGATTTTATTTATAAAAGAGATAATCCGAGCTCAAAAGTCAAGGGGCATGGACTGTCTGAGCTCCCTCTCTTTTAAAGAATTTCGTGTCCCTAGGGCATTTATTAAAATAGGTATGGTATTTATGGTCCCTGTCCCACAGTAAAAAAAAATGAAATAGAAGACTGTCTTGACATGACTTACAATATTCAAGATTGGGTTATTTATTACATAGAAACAGGAGTGACGTATCACATTTATTTGCACTGTGTTATGAATCCATTTTGGTTAAATGAACCATATGACTTATTGTGAATCGAAAAAATAATCACCTGTAGACAATGATTACAACGTTTTTCTATAGTTGAAATTATTGATACTTAACCTTTTGATGTAGATGTATTTATTGGTAAAGATTTGTAGAGGGTGCTGACAGCACAGTCTGTAGAGTAATGGACGTGCAAGCGTCATGTGAGCACTAGAATAGAAGTTCTTATAACACAACCAGTAGAAGATTAGAGTGTGACACTTTGATGACTTCACGGTCACCTCATCAGACAAATGATAAGTGTGGTGCCTACTAACACTGGTGTACATAGTGTATGAGATGGTAAGAAATCAGAAATATTATAATCCTCTGTCCACTAAAGTAAAATATAGTGTGATGCAGGTGAACGCCCCATATGTTTGATTTGTTCCCTTCCTAGAGCAAGGAACCAAGATCATAGATCACTATGTGTGGTCATAGTTATGCCCTTTGGCAAGACACTTTACTTCAGTGGCTTGGGATATGATGGGCCTCTCATACAATGTTCAGTGAGGTAGTCTGTAGCCTCAAAGTGACCATATCTGTTCGATAAGCCCAGCAAACGAATAAGTTTTTTTTCCCATAGGTTGTGACCCTATTGAGGACTCTAGGATTTGTAACAGATCCAACAGCTTTATCAGAGTTCATGTCTGGTACCATGGTGGATCTGTAAGTATACTAATTCTAATATTTTGTACTGTTACTGTCACCTGACATCACCAAAGGATGTATAGACGTTGAAAAATAGAAACAAAAAGGAGATGATATGATCTAATTGATTTTCTCCATCATTGACATCAAATAAGTTTCTTGCATTTTTTTCTACACTTGATAATAGAAATTGGTTGTATACTTCTTCTTGGCTTTGTTTTCTGTTTCTTCCAAAAAAAACTTGTTTCATTTATGATGAATTTGATTTGTTGATGAAAGCAATGGTACTTATTCAATATACTGAAGGGCAGTGACTCTCAAGCAAATTGTGTTAATATATATCTGGGATCTGTTTGATAGTCCTGTGCGAAACTCAGTTTCCTTCATACCTCATAAATATTTTGTTTTTTTCAAAATCTTTAAAATTACATTGCAATATTGTAAACCTGATTTTCAGTATTTAAAAATGTATGTCTTTTTTTATCAGTTATGTACATACCCTACCACACATACTGGGGAGGATTTATGATGAGCTGATGCAGCCACTCCCAAGTGTATTAGAGGCCATCTTGTCACCCAATCACAGTGCAGATCAGTCTGTGTTCAGTCACTCATTGCTGAAATCTGACAACCCTGGATCCAATCAGTCATCCCTCAATGACTCAAATTTATCACAGCCTCCATCCAACCAATCAGATGTCCTTTTGAATAGGCCAAAACGTAATGCCAGGTATGTGGTATTATCTACAACTATCTAGACTATTTTGGGAGGACTATATTGTAACTTTGAATATCAAGTTTGAGATGTCAACTGCAAAAAGAATTGTTTATGATACAGCTGTCTTGTTTCAGGCGTCATACTTTGGTCCACCATCCAAGTTTAGCAGAGGTTGGACCCAAGCGACAGATCATGGTCAGGAAAGTGGAAAAGAAAAAGGTAAAAAATTGATTAATTAGACAACTCTGATTATTGTAAGTCCAAACTTTTCTTCTGTGCTTTCCTTTTCACAAATTTCCCAGTAAAAGCTGAATTCTGAAAAACAGCCACCTCCAGTTACATAAGACATTGATGATAGGTACCAAATTCTTATGTAAATTTTTTGATGAATAATAGATAAGTGTTTAAAGTCATAAAAATCTTCAAATGTCATAATTTGATGATGCATGGTCACATAAAATTTCACAATAGCCATCTTTATTCAGTAATCGGCTCATCCATATGGATTTGGATGGAGCATGAATATCTGTTACATCAACCTGTGATATTAGCAAGTCCACCCTTCTGAGAGATTATGTTCTAAATCCTTGGTGTTAATGAAGAATAATTTCAGGACTAATAGTCAGAAGCTTATTCATGGTTTCATCATTGTATACTTGCAGGATAAAAGCCATAAAAAATCTCAGCATTCAAAGAAGAAAACCAAAGATCAAGGCAGTAAGTTTGCTTTCCTTCCATTTACATTCACTATATTCCATAGAAAGTGTCACAAAAATAATAACTCAAGAGATATGAGGCAATATTGAATTTACTTGAACATTCCAGTGAGAATTCAAAGTACTCAAATATTGCATGGGTACTCATACTGAGTTTATGTTATCAGTTTAGTTTGGCATGATGGAAAGTAAACCACATATGATTAAAATTTAAGTACTTTCAGATTTTAATTTGGTGATCCTAGATAATAGTATACAGATAAACTGAACTTTGGACTTCAATTTCTTCCATTGTATTATGTACAAAACAAGTTGTCCTTTCCTGTTTGAAATTCATATATACTATATTGTATAGTTTTTCAAAGACTGCTTTTGTACTTAAGTCTCACCAAAGAATTTTCAAAATAATTCAAACAAGTTAAAGGAGACATCATTATTGATATCTAAGTTGTCTTTGTGTAGGCTGAAGTATGAAATGTGTATGAAATTAAGTAAAGTCTCATTCTGTAGAACTTTTCTTGTTGTATCATGTATGTGTAATTAATGTAACACTTTCCCAGATTCTTGACTGAGCAGACAGACAGAGCCGATATCAACGGACCAGATTTATTCCATCATGTTGTCAATATGAAAAATTAGTATCATTGAATATTACAGAGTAGGATGTAATTGTAATGTTTTGAGATAGTCCCACATAATTGGAAATTATTTTGGTTTTTGTTTACACAGGTGGTGAAAAGGTTTGTCGTAATCTTTTCGAAAATAAGAAAACTAAATTGGAGCGTCGACAGTCAGTTGCTGTTATGGAAAATATAAGGTCGCGACATCATCACAATAAACGCCTCCCTAACCTCAAAAGTCCTAAGGGTGAGTGCATATTATATCAATAGTATCTCTCATGATGAAAATCTTCATTTACGTAAAAAATTTTGCATCAAAATGTGCAAGAGTATATATATATTTTTATTACCACATCATCATAAGACTTTGTCTACTACTTGACAATCGCTTCAACTTCACCTGTAAAGATGTCTGTTTATAAGAAATACTCCCACAGGCAAAAATACATGGGTTGTTTTTATCATTCAAGATTTGAATTAAAGATGAAAAAGCTGGTATAATGCATGTATTTGTGTAGCTAATTCACTTTAAACTTGTCTTGATTTTTGTAGAAATTTTGTCAAATTTCTTACACAGTTTACATTTCTTTCACCATTCAGCTCTGAAATCACCTTTCAAATCACCAACATTTCACAACAAGAAGGTTAGTGAAACACCTGCTCACAAGCAGAAATGCCAGGCAGTGTTTTCTCGAATTGAGAAGGAGAGACATCGTTCAAGGAGTGTTACTAGCATACAAGTAGTGGAGGAATCACCCATCAAGGCTTGTAAGTACATTGTCATGAAATTGTGTCCATTACATATGTGTCATGATGAAATCATTGTAAACTTAATTCATTAGGCATAATGAAATTTTAGCACATGATCACATTTTGGCATATTAACATATTGATTAATTTGCACATCAACAATAATTGTTATATAAACAACATACACAAACTGTAATTAGTGCAAAAATTTTTTAGCACTAAACTTTAAGCATGAAAAGCGCTAAAATGAAATTACCGCTAAAATTTGTTTTTTACAGTATTCTGTCTCTGAAAATATTGTGTAACTGTAGTTTGAATATCCAAAGTTCATGATGTTTAGTTTTCGGTGTATGTTTAAGGTAGGATGTTTGATCGGTCACTTCTGCTTGTTTAGAAAGAGTTTTATTGAATATAAAACATGTTTTCTGAGGACAAAAGCAGACTGTAACACCAAAACAATGTATGAAATAATATAGTCAGGAGGCAGTTAAAAATTGTGGTATTTTCTTTTCAGTTGAGAATAGATAACTTGAAAGCTGTAGTTTTAGTAATAGGCCTTGGAAAACTCTTTACAAGTCTTTATGAACCATGTTACACGAGTGCCTACCATTTAACTCATAGTCCCAGATGGCCTTGCAAGTCAGTAGTTGGTAGAAATATCATGCATTTCTTCAATAACTTTTAGATTCCTCATACTCATTTGTTTGTTTTAGGTCCTGAACAAAGAGACAGTCCATCGCAACGAAAGAGGGCTATGGCGATGCTTCGTCGTTCCTTTTACTCTGCCGGTCCCACAAAGAGATCTCGTAACTTGGTGAAATATTTCCAGCTAAATGACCGCATGGCAGGAAGACCTCCTGTTAATAGACTGAACTTGGGTGCTTCACTTCACGATTTATCAGCAGAGTTTAAATCACCTGATAAAAATTCTTCACTTATCTTTTCACAACTCATGGGAAGTCCAACACCTCCTAAATCAACTCCCAACAAAACAGTGATAACTCCAGCCAAGTATCTATTGGAGTCACCAAGCATGTATCAAGGATCAAAGTCACCTGCACGCTTCGATGGAACCCCAAGAAAACACATTGTTAATAAAAGATTGTTGGAATCACCCTCAATGAATACCCGTTCAAAGTCACCAGGATTTAGTCTGGGCCATCCAAAGGTTTTGTTTGGCGATGGCAGTTCATTTGATCCAGTTATTCGAGATCACACTTTTGGTACTTTAACAAAGACTCCTGTAAAAGAAATAAGTTTGGTTGCAGAGTCTCCAAGCCAGAATACACGATCTAAGAGTACAGCCACACCAAGATCTTCACGTGCAAAAATGTTTTTATTTAAGAGTCCAGAAAATAAAGGATCATCCATAAGGTCCATCTCCACTAACATATCTTCATCAAAATGTTTGAATTTATCCAAGTTTGAAAGTGGAGAGCTACTCAACAATAAAGATGAAGAAAATTTAGTTAGTTGTTCAACTAGTGGTGTTCTAAATTTATCGCAGCTTAAGGTTAATGGGGCAATTAGTGAAATCTGTATAAAAGATCCAGAAGCTCAGTCAAGTCCAAGACAAGAAGGCAGCAGTTGCCACACGAAGTCTCCAGTGGAGAAGACACCATCACCTAGAAAGACGGCAGGAGTGGCAAGAACTCCCGGGTCTTTAGACAAGAGGCCTAGAAGACAGAAACTCCAGAATCTTTTCCAGTCTCCAAAGTCAAGCAAAGTCATGCAGTCACCACCAACAAGTTCAGAATGGCAGAATTTGCGTCAATCACCTAGGTTATCTCGTCAAACAATTAATCTGTCCCAGTCACCAACATCTGCCCAGCATCAGGGACAGTCTCCAAGATCTCGTCTCGGTCAGAGGCGTTCTCTTTGTGATAGACTGTTGGCCTCACCTAGGTCTCTTCCATGCAATAAAAAATTGTGCAGTGTTCGTCCATCCCCTTGTAAGATATTGTCACAGAATGTGGATGAAGACGCCTCTGTAAGTGGAGATATAGACAGCGGTGTAGTGTCAGTGGCAATGAAGTCACAGGAGTTTGAGACTATGGATACTGATAATGAGTCAATATTTTCAGAATTGTCACAGGGATTCAATAATAAAACTTCGGCTCTTTCTGAAATTTCTTCTCCACTTACAAGAAAACGAAGTTTAAGATTTTCTCCAGACAGTAACCAAGTTTTCTCACCTAGCAAGAGGAGGCGAGTGCAACTACATACTCTGGATACAAATAAAAAATTGTCAACTTTGTCTTGTCTGCAATCTCGTATTTTAAGTGGACGTGTAGATTCCTTTGGCTCCAGTTCCAGTCAAACCAGTCAGGGTTTCATAACAGAAACCTGCCAGTCCCAGCAAAGTATTCCATCTTTTTCTCAGTCTAGTATTGACTCCAATGATTATTTTTCACTTTCCAATGATGAAGTGTTTCTTAGTCGTAAACCAAAAGTGATTGAGGAAACGCCACGTTCAGATTCTCCAGTGTTTGGTTCTGCTAAGAAGGGAAAATGTTCTCTTGTGTACAATACTAAATCTGTTATACCAGTTGTAGATGATCTCTCTTCAGAAAACCTTGTATTGCGGAATGGTACCATGATAAACTCTGTGAGTCCAAATACAATCAGAAATAGACATGTGTGTTCCACAAGTCCCCATGTGACAGGAAGTAGCACTTCCGGGAGTCCTTGTTTCACCAGAAGTGATCTCAGTAAGAGTCCATATGTGCTGAGGAAAAGTCAAACACCGTCTGGTAGTGCCTTGACAAAACTTTCACCATCAAATCGTAAATACTCACCAAATGTGTCAGCAAAAAGTCTGATGCATCTTATTAACTCACCACTGGTGACTTCACCGAACAGTGAGGAGCGAAGCCCTCATCTCAATCAGGACAGTCTTAACGTGAAACGCAAGAGACCACATGGCAAGTCAAAGCGATCACTTGACCTTCAACAATAGATCTGGTTTTACATGTGTTATACATCCTGTAATAAGCATTAGGAACAAAAACATGACTTCTACATTGAAGTATGAAGATTTGCTTATCATAGGGCAATTATAAGGCATGTGCTGGAATTTCTACTGTAACACGGTATGCTTATTACCAGGCATAGGTTTATTGCCAGGTAAACAGTATAGTTACACGAAGACAAACCTGCTGTAGTGATCACTTTTGTTATACAATAATTTCCTTATCAAATCATAATTATTTGATCTGCCAAAATGTGTTGATATTTATCTGTATGTCAATTATCTGTGAGGAGACACAATCACTATTAAAATACCACTCAGTGTGTGTGTGGGGATGTATAGGGGTATTGCTTCCTGAATTTATTGTTAGCATATATTTGCATGTACTCCATCGTAAATGTCTTTACAATAATAATTATTTAGAGACCAACTCTGTTTAAAGACCACCAATATATAAATAGATCAACTCCTTTTAAAGACTACCTCTATAAAAAGACCACCTCTATTTAAAGACCAGATCTATATAATGTGAACAACTCCATTAAGAGACCAATTCTAAAACAACTGTCACTATGAAAAGACCACTTTGGAGTCTTCTCCTGAGTGGTTGAATTTGTTTATGGTGATTTTGCTGTCATTCCTCATAAAAGCATTTCATAGATAAATTTTGTACTAGAAAGGTTTTATCCTCAGAAGCCACTACTTCTTGTCCTGAGATATTTTATGAGAAGCAGTTACCAGTGCTTATTATGTTCCTCAACTGGAACCAAACTTTGTGTTGTGTCTGGCGGTCCCTTGTTCCCTATCTGTCTGTTCATTCTTCCACTGTGACATCCTGTCCCTATTTACTACACAACTACTACATGACAACTTAATTCTATGGCTTCACTGTGATGGCACTGTGTGTCATGTATCAAAATGTAGGTCAATTTGACCTACATTTTGACCTTTGGCATACATCAAAGAAAACATTTGTCCAGGCTCGGAATCCCACACTGCTAAACATAGGAACCTCATTCTTGGTGTATGGGTTCACTTTGGTGAGGCAGTTTGCTGTTGAGGGTCTATAATTTGCTGAATCACCTTGTTTATGGAGATCTTTGTGTACATGTATATAGAGATTATGTCAGTAAGTTATGTAATCATAACTGCTACCCGTGTTATGTCAGTGTAGTTGTAGAAGAAGGGCAGAAATGGTGCTATATCTGATCTCAAGAAAATATAAATTTTGTCATATACATAATAATGAAACTTTTATGAAAGGTAATTTATTGATTTATTTATTAAATTGAAATGAGGTGACTTTCATATGTCAAATGAAAGTTTTGAAATACCAAAGGTTGTTAAATTGGTACAAATTGACGGTTTTGTTTTCATTGCAGTTTATGATTGAAAGTGTTGGACAAAGTCATACAACACCAAACTGACTATTGGGGGCTAAAATGAAATTTTTCAAATGAATTTTGTAAAGTTTATGTGAAATGGGAAATTGTGCAAGATTTTTTGCACTATATTATTTCAAATATTGTTTTTTTTTTTTTTTTTTTTCTACATATCAGATTTCTAAAACTGTGCAATATTGGTATAATACAAGTGTAAATTATATATGAATTATGACTTCCTTTCATTAAACATATACTAATATGAAGGGTTGGGTATTATATGCAGTAATATTAATGATTTTTTAATTAAGTATGAAAGATAATTTGAAAACCGACGAAATCCTGATAAAATATCGCTAAATATGTACATAACAAACTTGTGTCAGGTTCTGTGCTGGTACTTGCCTGTTTAGTTTGTCAAGTATTGTTGGCATTATTCAATATTTCATTACTCAAGGGACTCTGATCAAATACACTTTAGTGTATATTTAGTTTGTTCGATAGAGCGAATGTACACGACCATTAATCTGTGTAAGGCAAAAAGTTTTGAGGAGAAATTGTGTATATAATTGCAGGTATTTTACAAGATGCTTATCAATTCGTTTTGATGCTTCAGGAATTATGTGTTGCATCATGTAAATTGATATTTTTATTTGTATGCAGCCTATGAATTAAAACAGTTTCTGATTTGATCCTGTATTTTAGTATCTCTTCCTTCTCACACCATCCTGGTCGATAAATAGTGACATAATATGTAAATAAAGGCAGTCTGTCATATAATAATGGGTGTTTGTGTTTAAACAGCTGGGACAGTTTCCTGTTCATCATTGAAGCGTGACTCATGATCTTGTCGATTCAGTATAAATGTAAAATCTTCCACTTCATTGTTACATACAGGCACCTGCAAAAAATGATTTTACTGTCAAGGTATTTTGTATAAATCCTCTTAACACAGATTCAGCTGGTCAGATTAAGTACTGAAAAAGTATGCCTTAGTTTCTTACAATGTTTGAACACCATGAGAGAAGAATGTTGTTTTGAAATTTAAATCTGACCCAAGATAGCCTGCTGGTCATTAGTGTATCTACTGTTTTCTGTAGTGCAGTTGGTTCATCACAATTTAAAGGACTTGCTGATGCATGACATAATTTAGATGAAAGAGTTATCTCCCTTACTCCTTAACACCTTTTAATTATTAGGGTTGGGGTTAGAGTTAAGGATATATGCTACTTTATATTTATCTGATTTAGATATGGTAAGTTAAAGGCAATTAAACTATTTCATAACATCCATCAGATGCTTAATTTGGTAAGCGCATAAACTTGCACACAGTTTCCTGAATAATGAGAAAAAATCACTTGCATGTCCACATGTACCTCTGAGTTTGGAAATGGAACTTTGTCTTGTCCTCCTGGCTTTGAGCAATGGAAGTGAAAAGTCAAATCTGAATGGACAAAAAAAGTTGTTAATTAAATACAAAGGTTTTGCTAAATTGTAAGTCTCATCCACTTAACTTCGCCTCGCAAAGATATGAACGTACCCTGAAGACATGTCAATCTTTTTGAAGTTTCATGGTGTTGGAGAAAATACCATTTATTCCAGAAAAAAATGCAAAATATCTCGTATGTCTGAATTCAGATCTCATTATGATCATTCTAATGAATATATATACGACTGTCACGCTGTGAAAATTTCACTAAGCTGGCAGAAACTCTTCATCGTCTTATGTTATGATATTTATGCAAGATGTGTATCTAGAGTTGAATCAATCTGAAATAATTGAAGGCAACACATTTTCAAAAATCACAAACTTAATTCCCCCCACCCCCCACCCCCCCACCCAACTCCTAAAATTTGAAGCTAATTACTTTGCATCTCATTATTATGATTCCAGTTGAAGGTCTTGTAACTAAATGCCAGATTTAATTGTTGCTGAGTTTGCTCTTTCTGAGAATTTCAGTAAAATGCTATTTCTCAAAATGGACATGACAGAAAATTAAATAGCTTTACTGTACATCTACGGTGTGATATAACTTAAATTCTACACTAGAAAAATTGAGAGAGAGAGGAAGTAGTTATTACTACCAGTTGTGGTAGAATTTAAAGGTCTAGTGGGATGAAATATTTAATCTTTGATACAGTACATGTACAATCGAAGAAAAAGTGTTAAGTGTTTTCAGCAGAATGTCTGCAATGGCAAATTTAAAAAAAACTGACTAAGAAACACTATGTCTAACTTCAAGGTCAGATCAATAGGATAATAGAAGGAAACCAGAGTACTGTTAGGCGGAACTATATAGGTCACGTGCCAAAGGGAGGAGATAACTGAACAAGATGAAAATGTTCAGATGGAACAAAAGGCTATAACTCTTTCTTAAACTGCAAAATCACAATGCAAATAAGGAAAACAAAATTTCATGTAATAGTTATAAGCCAACAAAGTTTCAGAGGAAATGCTGAAAAACTGAGGAAGGAAATTTACATACAAAATTTGAATAATGAAAAATTGTTGAATTTAACCATTGTGTACGAAAACACCACTTCATGTCATGGTGATCTAAGCCTATAAATTTTGAAAGAAATCTGTTGAAACTGAGAGAGATGGTCTTCGGTTAAGATTTACATTATGAAACAACAAGAGGCATTAACTCTTCCAAGTACAGTCGAATCAAACTGTCATTAAGGAAAACACAACTTCATGTCATGATGATTAAGCCTACCAAGTTTGAAAAAATTAATCAAAAACTGTGGGAGATCTCTGTACAAAAAAAGGTTGTGAAGGACAGATGAATGACGCCATACCATAATGTTTCCCATCAAAAATTTTGACAGTCGCATAAAAAGGAAAAGTTTGTTAGATGTAGTATGAAATTTGGTAAAACATTTGTGAATCACCAATGTTTCATTGTTGGTTTTCTGATACTAAAGGAGGCAATAAAGAGAATAGATAATTAGCTGAGTTTATCAACTTATTTTGTAGAATAGCTGCAGCTTTCTTCTGGAGCATTATTCTGATAGCAATTCTGGACCAATTTTGAAATATCATACTGAGTGATTATGTACTGGTATATGATGGTGATAATTAATAATTCAAGCAGATTAAAACAGAATATTTTTCCAGCTTGTTGTCACTGAGAGAACACCCATTCCAAACAACAATAATGGAGGTATGCACACTTGAGTAGAATTTATCTATTTAACAAATATTTAAATTATGCATTATGACATATATTTTCTTTGTTTCTTCTCTATTTCCTATTCTTCATCAAATCTATTCCTACATGCTTATGATGACACTTGTATGATTAAATTTGATATCTATGACATTGCCATTTATAAATTTATTTCATTTATTAATGTTACTTGTGAATGTGACTATTTTTTGCTATCACAACAAATCACAGGCAAGTGATATATTCCTGTCAACTGAATTTAGACTCATGGCGATGCATATGATAATTTCCACCAATAGTGAGTGGTTACATTTCCACTTGTTATTTCGGTTTTGGATCTGATGGTTTTTCAAATGACTTTATAAATGCTGATATATAAATTTGGTCTGAAGTATTGTTGTTTGAACGGGAATCAATTTTTTAGCAAAGTAGTCTCTGCCACCTGAGATGGAAGGTATGGGGCCAAATAGGAAAAATAGAGCAATTTTATTTCAAAGCCTACTCCTCCTGTAGGAATGATTGGATTTGACCCAAGTTTAGTTTGAAGCATTCTTGTG